TCTATCTCTCTATCTCACACACACACACACAAACGGGGTCCGAAATCCCCCGACAGGTGAGTGCGCTGGGGGGGGCCGGCCCCCAACTGGGGTGCCCTGCCCGGCCAGGCCGCCCGGGACCTCCCCCGGGCCCCTGCTGGTCACCCGGACGGCCCGGATCCCCACTCAGTAAAAAATCCAGTTGGAAAAAAAAAATGAAATTTAGTTCGTCAATTTACAATTTTACACCGTTTCTCAATTTGAGCCAATCATCCTTGTTCAGGGGCCATGCTAATTGTGTATGTATTGTTCCAATTTTAATGGGTGTTATTATTTTCTGCAATTAGCCCGGCAATCATGACAAGCTTTGACAACTAGATCATGCGAGTACTCGCAATGCACTCAAAATCTAGGCTACCAGCTGGGTGGGTCACCTTGTTTGCCTGTTGGCCTGGCTGTGCAAGGATCGAAGAAGGTCCTGGTAAAAAAAAATTAAAAAAAAATGAGAGGGAGTGCAAGGATTGATGCCTCGGCATAGGGCCCTGCAGCAGGCGCGTGCCCGCCCTAAGTGAAGGAGGGCCCCCTGAATCTCAATGCGCTGTAATGACCCGCCATAACACAGACTGAGAACATTGCTGATTTCTGAAGTTTTGTTGATGGAATGGATGTGTTGCTGAGATTCCCGCATTCTGCTGTGTTTTCTAAGTCTGTATGTGTGCGTGCCTGTTTGAGTGCTTGTCGGCATGAGTGTGTGTGTGACCCGCAAGGGTACTTGCTTGTTTTGCAGGCCCGTAGGGCCGGTGCTTACCTGTGGCCGTGACATTGAGGGTTGCAGCAAGGGAAAACACTCAAGTGGCGGAGCCAGAGGCCCGCGGCACGTTGAGCAGCGGAAAAACACTCAAGTAGCAGGTAGGCCGGTACCGCACCCAGTAGCAGTATATGTGCCGGGTACTCGAGGCCAAGCGGAAGAAGAAAAAGTTGGCATTTTGAGAGGCCCAGTAGCGGTAGGCTAGGTCTAGCCCAGTACCAGTCCATCCAGTCTGAGTCTAGAGCCTGTACGGGCAATATCAGAGTCTACAATGATGTTTCCCTCCGAAAGGGAGGAGGTACCGGTCGCTTGGGAGGCCGAGCAACCTGGAAGTCACCGATCAGGAGGCAAGCAGGCCGCTATATCAAGAGGCCGAGGCAAGAGCTCGGCCTCATTCTTCAATGTGCAAGTTTGGCGACACGCTGCTGGAGCGCTGACTGGAGTAGAGCTGGGTACTACAGCGCTGCTGGGAGGAAGAAGCCGGGAGCTTCCACCTTGGCTATGGTGGAGCTCTACCAGTAGGAGGAGGAGGGAGAAGGGGACTAAGGAGGAGAGTGGCGAGGTACCTACCTGGCTATGGTGGACACCATCGTCATGACCTTGTTAGGCGCTGCGTCTGGAAGGCCCCTGTTGGGGTAGTGCCGCACCAAGGAAGCTCGGGGCAGAGACAGGCATGGCGGCCTAGTGAGCAGTGGCATAGCTGCTTTGCGTTGTCCTGTGCACAGGGAGGAAGCGACATAGCTGCTTTGGGTTGTCCTTTGGACAGGAGCGTTGAGCCCTCAGTAGTCCGCCATAGCCTCGGCCTACATGTGAGAGGAAGGAGAAGGGTGGCCATGGCTATGGTGGACCTCATGTTGTGCCTGCAGTAGACGTGGGATTCGGACATTGATTCTGGTTCAGCCATTCAACATTATCTAATAACCCTACTAAAACTTAGTAGGCCGCGGGGCGACTCTCGCTTCTGCGATGGTCCGCGTTAGTGTTTTTTGCATCCCTTAGCGTGAGACGTCCAATGTAAAATTCTGACGCGCGATTGTTTTCATCACGAATCGTGAGACGTCCGATGTAAAATTCTGATGCGCCTGACGCGGCGCGCCTGACCCGTCTGACGCGTTTGTTTTGTTTCGGGCGAGTGTTTCGTTTTGTTTTATGAAACGAAAAAAAAAAAAAAAAGTTTTGCTTTCTTCTGTCGTTGCTTTGCACAGTAGGTCGGGTGCTCGAGTCGTGTGGGCCGGCTCGGTGGGTAGCTGCTTGGGCCGGCTCGGTGGGAGGCGCGTCTGACGTGTTCGTTTTGTTTCGGGCGAGTGTTCCGTTTTGTTTTATGAAACGAAAAAAAAAAAAAAAGTTTTGCTTTCTTCTGTCGTTGCTTTGCACAGTAGGTCGGGTGATCGAGTCGTGTGGGCCGGCTCGGTGGGTAGCTGCTTGGGCCGGCTCAGTGGGAAGGCGGTTGGGCCGGGTTGGTGGGTAGGTGCTTGGGCGGGGTCGGTGGGTAGGTGCTTGGGGCGGGTCGGTGAGTAGGTGCTTGGCGCGGGTCGGTGGGAAGGCGGTTGGGTCGGGTCGGTGGGTAGGTGCTTGGGCGGGGTC